TTAAAGGCATTATAGTTCCGACTGTGGTTTCCACTGTTGCGTTCAAAAAATCCAAAGCCGCTTTTAGATTTTATTTTTATGAGATTCCAATTTTTTTAAAAGTGTTTATTTGTAAATTGAGTGCAAGTTTACAGGGCAGATTATCCGTTTTATATTTAATAAATCATATTTTGTTTCATTGCAGTGATTACAATCCCCTCCATGTACTATGAGTCAACAATATTTTACCTTTATCCCCCTTTATTTTGGATGTGCGCATACAAAACAGAAAGTACATACTCGTTTAAATGTTCTAAGGACATGCTTTGCAAGCCAGCCTCCTGTCCACAGGCATACAGCCTTCTTCAGTCCATGGGCCTATAGTCCTCTGGTGCTCTATCTCTCTGTTACCGTCCTTTTGTCGCCACTTTTCTGGTTAGGATCCATTGCTCCACTCATCTTCCCTCTTGTAGTCCTAAGGTACTGTGTTCCTGAAGTAGAAGATTAACTACTCCCTCCTTTTAGATAGACATCTTCTACATTTACGGTTGTGACAATCACAGTTAGTCCTGGTAACAATTATACACAATTGAATCATAAAATCCTATCCCCATCCTCTCCTATCCCCTTTCACTAGACCCATTTGGAAAAGAGGAAAACTGTTCAGTGGGGTTTTACTTAACCCCTTCATTCTGATATGAAGCACATTCATGAAAGCTTGTAAGCCAGCCAGTTTGTGCCTGTATATATATTTTTGATAGCCACTGTCTTAAGTTGCCCATCCCTATCAACCTCAGTAGGAGGCACGCTTGATTCTTGGTATTAAGAGGCCTTCTGTTTTGGTTGGAATTTTTGGCAACTACATCCATAGCAAAGGTCCAGTTTGTCAGACTAGCAATTAATTCTTGGTCCCTGTATCAAATCTTATCTTCATCAGGTTAAGTTCTGGTTAGCTAGCCAACGGTCACATCTGCAGATTTGGGAGTTTTCACATGCTTCCCCTCACTTCAGACTGGCTGGTCACTTCGCTCTCCATTCTAGTTCACAGTGGCTAGGTCAGTGTCAATGGGCTTCGGAAACCACATGCCTCCCTAAATTTCAGACCATCCAGTCTTTCCTCCTCTCTCTTTCATCTCAGGGTCAATGGGTATCTATGTAACATGGCCAAGCTCAGCCTATGTCTCTATTGCTGCGATATTTACTTTTCTGGAATATATTTTTTAATTGTGGCAAAAATATATTTAACATGTTGTTATGAAGTGCTGTCGAGTCAGTTCCATCCCATAGTGGACTCTGTATAGGGTTTCTGAAGAGCAGCTGGGAAGACTGAACCGCCAACTTTGCAGTTCATATGGCTTTGCAGTCTGGCGCAGTAACCCACAGCACCACACCAGGAGATATATATATATATCTCCACATACCATATACATACATACACACCATAGCATTTGCAAATTAAACTTAAATATATATAAGGAGCTCTGTAGCATAGTGGTTACGAATCGGGCTGCAAACCATAAAGTCAGCAGTTCGAAACTACCAGCTGCTCCGCGGGAGAAAGATGTGGCTTTCTGCTCATGTGAAGATTTGCAGTTGGAACCGACTCGACGGCACTTAACAACATATATATTTGCAAATTTAACATTTTTTACATGTATTGCTATGATTTGTAGTCATTGATTGAGTTCTTCCAGTCTGGGGATTGGTATCATAGTCTTGAACATTTTCTTGTTTTATTTATTTGGTAACTTTATACTCTGTGTTTACTCTGTTTTTTGTTTAAAATTTTTATTGTAAATTGAATGAAAGTTTATAGAGCATATCATCAATTTTACATTCAACAAATCACATACTTTGCTTCATTACATGGTTGCAATTCCTTTCATGCACCAACAGTTAACAGCATTTACCTACTGCATTCCTCCTGTGTCTCCCGCCACCCCATCTTTTCTCTGCCCACTTCCCTTCGGTTATATATTGCTTGCCCTGTGACCCATGTCAATGCATGTCTACCTTGTAGCGCATGAATCATTTCCTTCTCCCCTGAAAACCATCATAGATTGATGTGCAAAAAACCCCCAAAAACCATGTAGGAATATATAATCATTTAAACAACCAAAGGGCACATTCTGGAAGCCAGCCTCCTGGTCGCCAGCACCACAGCCTTTCTCTTTCCATGAGTCTAGAGTCCTCAGCTCTACAATCTCTCCATGTCATCACTTCTCTGTTGTTTTTGGAACTTCAATGATAATGTTTGATATTTTGATTCTCCCCTGTGGCTCTGCTTCCTTCCTGCCCTGGCCAAGTTTTCCTTTATTTTCTTTCTAGAGATTTCCTTAATGTTATCTTTTAATATTCTGTTACATATTTCTACTTCCAATTTTATAATTTCCAAGAGCTCTGTTTCTTAAAATAGCATATTCTTCATGTTTTATGTTTGGAGTGTCTTTTCATTAATGCTGTGATTTTTTTTTTTTTTTAAATATTATTCTTGACATTATTACTGTTTCTTCTCAGATCTTTGTTTCTTCTGGTGATCCCTGGATGTTTATTAACTGTGGGGGTACTAGAAATGGAATTGGAAACTATGTGTACATGTGTGCATAGTTGACTACTCATCAACTGATAGATTTCATTGTAGATAATCAGCTATATTTTCTCTGTTCATTTTGAAACTTCTATTATTATAATATTGGACATTGAACCACATTTTTTGATTCTCTCTTGTGGCCCTGCCTCCTTCCTGCTCTTTCCAATTTTCCCTTTTCTTTCTAAGAGAATTCCTCATTCTTAACTTTTAATCGTCTGTTACATATTTCTACTTTCAATTTTATAATTTTCAAGAGCTGTTTTGACTTTTCCTTGGTGGACCCCCAACTGCTACTATGTTATAAGCTATCTTGTTAATACATTATATTGTTTCTCTCAGTTTCTTCAGAGAAGAGTTTTCTAATTGTCCGCTTTGGGGAGGAGTGTCAAGGTAGATATTTGTGTGTCTGTGTTTGGGTGTGTAGGTGTGACCTTCAACTTTCTGTGAATTAAGCATAGAAATTAAGTGGGCTACAGGTCCTGTTGTTCAGTTTAACACTTGTTTTTAGTTTGGTACCATACCCAATTCTTTGTAAGTCTGTATGTAGTCTCTCAAGACCATTCATTGCAAAATAGTTACCTGTCTGGATTAATGAAATATTTTGGAATTCTGATTGTGTTGTATACAGATTTTTTTTCCAGTTGATAAGGAATGAAGTTTTCTTTTTAATGAAAGTCCTTTATAGTTTGAGGGGTATTTCAGAATTTTCTAAGTAGTAAGTTCAGTAATGCTGATTCCTTTTTTTATTTGACCAAGTCTTTTCAGATCTAAATCCTAGGAATCAGGTTGTCAAATAATGACTTATACCTTTGAATACAGTGGATTGAAGATAAATGTAAGTTATAGTACAATGAAATCTGTAGGGTTTCATTAAATGCCTTTCGGGTGATATGTTTTTAATTATTAGAATATATGGTGATGATTTAATTTTCCCAAAGATTTGCTGATACCAGGATAAATTTGTTAGGGAAAATTCATCAGAACCTTAGATTATTTAACATGTATTTTGTTATCACTTGAATTACAATTAATGGTTAATCTGGAGTCCTGGTATGGTGCTGTAGGATAAGCACTGGACTACTAACCACAGTTTGGTGGTTTAAACTCACCAGCTGCTCTTTGGAAACCCTCTGTGGGGTTGCTATGAGTAAGAACCTACTCAACAGCACTAAATAACAGCAGTATGATTCGGAGTCCTGATATGGCACTATAGGATAAGCACTGGACTGAAAACCCACCAGTTGTTCCTTGGAAAGCCTGTACAGGGTCACTATGAGCCAGAATTTACTCGATGGCACTTAACAACAGGAGAATTTAAGAGGTCTGTTTTAAAAGTTTTTAAAGTTAGTCGGTAAATGAAATTCATAACTTGGTGTCTTGGTTATCTAGTGCTGCTATAGCAGAAATACAATAAGTAGATGACTTTTCAGATATCTATTTTCTCACAGTTTAAGAGGCTTGTTGTTGTTGTTAAGTGCCATAGAGTCGGTTCTGACCCGTAGTGACCCTGTATAGGGTTTCCAAGGAGATCCTGGTAAGCTTGAACCTCCAACCTTGCAGTTCAAACCGACTTTGCAGTCCAGTGCATTAACCCACAGCATAACACCAGGACTCCTTAGAGCTAGAAGTCAGATTTTAAGGTTCCAGCTCTAGGGAAAGGCTGTCTTTGTTTCTTCTGAGTTTCTGCTCCTGGGCAACCTTCCTATGTCTTTGCATCTCTCTCCCTTATCAATTTAATTTACATCTCTTTTATAACTCAAAAGAAATTGACTCAAAATACACCTAAAGGGAATCCTGCTTCATTAACATAACAAGAAAAACTCATTTCCAAATGGATTTATCATCACAGGTATAAAACCAAAAGAACCAAACCCAGTCCTACCAATCATTCCAAGTCTCAGTGACCCTAAGGGCAGAGTAGGAATACTTCATAGGGTTTCTTGGATGTGCAGAAAGACTCATCTTTCTCTGTAGAGTAACTGTTGGGTTTGATTTACCAATCTTATGGTTAGGATTTTTACAACACATATTTTTGGGGGGCATAATTTGATCCATAACACTTGGTAAGTAAGTTAGTCCCTGATTTATGACATAACTGACTAAATGACAAACCATATATATAGTTATCTTTATTTCTTGTACATCTTTTTGTTAATAAATCATAATACATATAATATTGCAATGTGTGATTTGCAGATGTTCAGTGTTATGATTTATTGTTCAAAATACTGCTGCATAACAGGTGATAAAGAAAACAAAACAAAAAAAAAGCGGTATTCTACTTCAGAACTGACTGATGGTAAAGTTTTCGAAACAACCCCATCCTAAGTCAGGGACATCCTGTAATTGTTTTAAATAGCAAATAATAGTTACCAGAGTTAATATCTTTCAGCTATAATAATTCAACATTGTTTTCTAAAATTTATTCCAGGTAGAAGAATACATGTTCACTTTTAGTGAACAAGAGCATGTTCCCAAACTCCTCAATTTTGGGTCGTCCTCCCTTTACTCCACACCATCAACAACATAATAACTTCTTTGCTCTGTCACCAACTCTTTATTCACACCAGCAGCTTATAGATGCGCAATTCAACTTTCAGAATGCAGAGTAAGTATGGTGATATTTTGTCTCATATCATTTGTAGATTCTGCTTTCTATCTGACATAAAAACCCTTTTTTAGTGAAACATTTGAAGGTAGGAAAAATATATCTTGTTGTGAAATTTTTTTTTTAATGTTTTTTTTTTTAAATGTTATTCTTGTTTTTTTGGTAGCTTATCTAGAGCTGTGTCATTGCAGCAGTTGGCATATGGAAATGTCAGTCCAATACACACCTCAACCTCCCCATTATTTCGAGGAAGGAAGTAAGTACATCTCACTTAATTGTTTTCAAAGAAAATTTTGCATTTTTGAGAACTGAATAATAATGTCTTGTGTATTAAAGTTGCATTGGCACTGTGCCCCCAATTTTTCTTTTCTGGGACCTGTGCAGCCAATCTAGGCATAGATTTAAAAAGAATTTATCTTCTAATTTCTTAATTTTGAAGATATTTTTATTGATTTGCTCTTGCCAGTATTATAAGTTTCAGGTGGAATGAAGCAACGTTTCTTCAGAAAACTACTTTCTTTTTTTGTATATCATTTGAATATATTTGTTTATGCCTAAATATACACCTATATTTGATGGTATGTTTATAGTTAAATATGAATTTGTGTGAACATATTTCAAGCACACTTAAATATACAGTATTATTTTAGATACTTTTTGAATTTAATTTAAAAAGCTCATCAATTTCCAGAAATGGTTCAACTTAGCCAGAATAAGTTTTGTGTTGTGGTTTTTTTAAAAGTTTTTATTGTGAATTGAGTGATAGTTTTCATGGGAGAGCATTGGTTTTACACTGTTTCATTGAAATGATTACAGTCCCCTCTGCATATCATCATTCAACAGTATTTGCTTCTAGTCTGTCTCAGAAAACTAGTTTTTACTTGAAACTTTACTAGACAGCTTTCTAGTAAAGTTTTTACTTTGTTTTTCTTTTGATTTTATCTAAATCTCATACAGGTAACATTCTAGTAATAATTACAATGAAATTTTACTGGTAACTAAAATAAGACTTGGCAATATTTGCAAGATATTGCTGTTATTTTTAAACCTATATGAATATTCCATAATTTTTAAGACTAGTAACAGTAACAGTAATTGAGTGTTATTGAGCACTCACATTGTAGTAGGCAGTGTCATTTACAAGTGTTGAGTTTTATAACACCTTAGGAGGTAGAAACTGTTAGTCCTCTTATGTTGAGGAGAAAGTTAAAGCACATAGAGGCTGGGTAGCCAGTTATTAATCTAGAAGTGGCATAGCTGGGATTTGAATCCAGGTGGCCTGGCTCTAGATCCTATGCTTATGTGCACTATAAGTTCTTCAGAGTTGCCATTGTGGAAAGCTATGTAATTATTTTTGAAGTATTAACTTTATTCAGATTGTTTTTTTAAAAATGGTTTGATAGCCAATTTATGAATCATGTATGGAAATAAGTTCTATTGTTGTTGTTAGGTGCCATTGAGTCTGTACCGACTCATAGCAAAACTTATGCACAGCAGAACGAAACACTGCCTGGTCCTGGGCCAACCTCACAATTGTTGCCACGCTTGAGCCCATTGTTGCTGCCACTTGGCCAATCCATCTCACTGGGGGTCTTCCTCTTTTTCTCTGATCCTCCACCTTACCAAACATAATACCCTTCTCCAGCAACTGGTCCCTCCTGACACTATGTCTGTAGTATGAGAGACGAAGTTTGGCTATCCTGGCCTCCACGGAGCACTCTGACTGCACTTCTTCTATTAATTCATAGTAATACATATTGAAAAAATAAAAAATTAGTTTACTTTTCAATATAAATGATATTCAGCATGTTGTGTGGGTCAAGTTGGTTTCAACTCACAATGACCCCATGTGAGCCACTTCTTAAGAGTTTTCTAGGCAGTAATCTTTATAGGAGCAGATTGCCAGATGTTTCTACCAGAAAACTGCTTGAACCTCTAACCTTTTTGTTAACAGTAATTATCTCAGTTCAGTCTTTTCTATTAATGATTCAGAATATAAGTAAATCGAAAGGCTTCTTTTTAAAAATACATTGTAAAAAAAAAAACAACAAAAAACATTGCACTCAGCTCGTCTAATCTTTATCCTCCTTCTTAAGTTATAATTTGGATTTTTTTTTTATTAATGATTCTGTAAATAAAAATGATCTTAGAGTTTTCACTGCTGAGATGAATTTCAAGTGTTTATGTAGTTGTTTTTTTTTCTATATGCATTTTTACTACCTACTTATTTTTTATAAGGTGTTGAGAGGTATTTCTTGTGCTGTAAACAAATTTTTTATTGAAAATTCTATATAGAGCTGATAGTGTAACCTGGCTAAGAGACTCATAATATTGCCATTATCTCTTAAGATGTTTATATATTCTTAATTATTTTAAATTTAAAACCAGAAGTTATCTTTTTAACCACCAAGGCTTATTGTTTGTTTTTAGGAGATTAAGCAATGAAAAAAACCTTCCGCTTGATGGTAAACGGCAACGATTTCATTCACCCCACCAAGATCCAACTGTGGTTAACCAGATAGTGCCTTTATCAGGTGAAAGAAGATTCTCAATGCCACCAGTGTTTCATGCACACTATATACCAGATGTAATCAGATATGTTCCTCCTTTTCAAGAAATAGCATTTTTAGAACCTAGAGAAATCACACTGCCAGAGGCCAAAGATAAGGTAATAATAATGTAGCTTTTAGTTTTCTCTTTTGGGAAATTCATATAAATAATATATCTAAAATATCAGAAATAGTCAATGCTTAAGTGGAAAATGTCCCCCCCCCAAAGATTCAACACTATTCAACCCAATTGGTCCTTTGATTTTTATAAGCTATTCTAGCTATTCTTTTCTGGAAGTACAGATATCATGAAATCAGATTTTCCCTGGTTTACAAAAAACTGGGATAAGACCTCAAATAAGCTTTGAATGGTTATTGTAAAAATGAGTTAAAAAGCATTTTCTTTTGGTGTATTTTTCTTTATTCTGAGGTTTATGAATGCCAAAAACTAGAGAACCCAGGGTCACCGAGGAAGGAATATGTTTGAAGTATTATAATCAAGAAAGATTTACCAAAAATATTTTTTAACAATTCAAAAAGTAAAATGAAAGTATTTAAATAATTATTTTTGGAAATGACACTTAGCATTGAGATAAAAAAACCAATTTTTTATTTAAATTCCAATAGAAGAAGCATATTGTCCCTCTCCATTATTGTTGTTAGGTGCTGTTGAGTCTGTTCTGACTCATAGCGATGCTGCACACAGCAGAATGAAACACTGCCTGGTTCTGCACCATCTTCACAATTGTTCTGCTTGAGTGCATTGCTGCTGCCACTGCCAATCCATCTTGTGGAGGTCAATTCCTGGAGGCTTGTTTTTTGTGAATGACTTTTGAACTTCTTCAGTACCACTGGTTCTCTTTTTCGCTGACCTTCCACTTTACCAATCATGATGTCTTTCTCCAGGGATTGGTCCCTCCTGATACTATGTCCAGAGTATGGGAGAGGAAGTCTTACCATCCTGGTTTCTAAGGAGCATTCTGCTGTCCTTCCAATACAGATTTATTTGTTCTTCTGGCAGTTTCCTCCAACATCATGAGTAAAATAACAGCATATCTTCTGTGGTCTTCCTTATTTTCATTTTCCAACTTTCTCATACATCGGAGACAGTTGAAAATTTACAATGACATGGGTCAGGGGCACCTTAGTCCTGAAACTGATGTCTTTGCTCTGAACACTCTAAAGAGATCTACTGCAGCAGATTTGCCTCATGCAATATATCATTTGATTTCTTGACAGCTGTTTCCTTGAGTGTTTATAATGAATCCATGCAAAATGAATTTGTTTTTGAATTATCTGTAACAAAATTTTACTTCCATGTGATTTCTGCATTCCATTGGATCACCTCTCTTTGGAATGAGTACAGATATTGGTCTCTTTGAATTAGTTTGCTAGGTAGTTGTATTCCAAATTTATTAGCGTAGGTGAGTAAGTGCTTCTAGTGCTACACCAGTTTATTGGAAGATTTCAGTTTGTATTCCATCAAATCCTGTTGCCTTGTTCTTTGCCAATGCCTTCAGTGTCCCTTGGACTTCTTCCTTCATTATCATTGGTTCTTAATTATATGCTATCTCTTGAAACGATTCAACATCGTCCATTTCTTTTTTGGTACAGTGACTCTGTGTATTCCTTCCATCTTTTTTTTTTAAGTTTTATTGTGAATTGAGTGATAGTTTACATGGGAGACTATAGCTTTATTTTCATCCTGTCGTATTTCATTTCATTGCAATGATTAGAATCCCCTCCATGCATCATCAAACAACCAAAGAGTACACCCTGCAAGCCTGCCCCGGGCCGTCAGCACACAGTCCCTCTCCCTCCCTGAGTCCAGAGTCCCCAGCCACTCCGTCTCTCCACATCATTGTCTCTGCCTCCATCTCTGGTGTCACTGCTTCTCTAGATAGGGCCCCAAACTCTGCTCTTCTCCCTTGAATGTCTACCTTTACATTTGAAACACTCAAAGTCAGTCCTCATAACAATTATTCACTATTGAATCACAAGTCTTATCCCCATCTCTTTCATCAGTCCCATCCACACAGGTTGGAAACCACTTAGTGGAGATCCTACCTAACTCTCCCCCTACATCCTGTGGAACTAGGCTCCCGCTTGAAAGCTTGTAAGCCAGTCACTTTTTAAGTGCCTTTGTAAATCCTCCCCCCCCCCCCATTTTGGCTTATTGTTAAGTGCCATCAAGTCGGTTCTGACCCATAGTGACCCTGTGTAGGATTTCCAAGGAGCATCTGGTGAGCTTAAGCCACCGACCTTGTGGTTCAAACGACTGTGCAGTCCAGCACATTAGCCCACAGCGCCACTAGCCAATGTCTAAGTTGCCCATCCCACCTTCCATCTTATTTTGATGTTTGTTGTATCGTTTAGTATTTTGCCCATGGAATCCTTCAATATTACAAGTCGAGGCTTGCTTGAATTTTTTCTTCAGTTCTTTCAGGTTGAGAAATACTGAGCGTGTTTCCTTTTTGTTTTTCTGTATTTCATTATAATACTTGACTTTGTCTTCTCGAACTGCCCTTTGGGATTTTCTGTTTAGCTCTCTCACGTCCCTATTTTTTCATTTGCTTTTGCGTTTCTATGCTGGAGAGCAAGTTTCAGAGACTCTTCTTGACATGTTTTGGTGTTTTCTTTTCCCCCTGCTTTTTTATGACCTTTTACTTTCTTCCTGTATGATAGTCTTGATGCCCTTGGTCATAGTGTCTGTTGCATCAAACCTGTTCTTAAGAAGGTGTCTAAATTCAGGTGGCATATATTCAAGGTCATATTTTGGATCCTGTGGACTTGTTTTAATTGATGATCTGTTCCACAGTTGGCACATGGTCTTGTTTTGGCTGATGATATACTTTTCCACCCACACAGATATAGTCAATTTGATTCCTGTATATTACATCTGATGAGATCCATGTGTAAATCGCTTTTTCTATTGTTTAAAAAATGCATTTGCGATGAAGAAGTCATTGGTCTTGCAAAATTTTATTATCATTTGAAGTCCTCTATCATTTCTGTCGTCAAGGCCATGTTTTATAACATGGTCTTCCTTTTTGTTTCCAGTCATTGCGTTCCAATCATCAGTTCATCTTGATTGCATGTTTGATCCATTTGAGACTGAACAAGTTTATTGGATTCTTCAGTTACATCATCACTGGCTTTTTAGTGCTTGGTGCATAAATTTGAACAATAGTGATATTAACTGGGGTTCCTTGTTGTTATCAAGTGCCATAGAGTTGATTCTGAATCACAGGGACCCTGCATAGGGTTTCCTAGGAGCTCCTAGTGGGTTTGAATTGCCAATCTTGCAATTCAAACTGACCTTGTGGTGAGTGCTTATCTTATCGTGCTTATATTGTAGGACTCTTCAGCATTGTACTTCAGGATATATCTTGAAATGTGCTTTTTGATGATGAATGTACACCATTTCTCTTGAATTTGTCATTCCTGAAATAGTAAACCATTTGATTGTCCGATTCAGAATGGCCTTCTTGTTGTTTTTATAGCTGATGAGTTGATTATAGCAATCCTGTACAGGGTTTCTGAGGAGCAGCTGATGGAGTTTGAACAACTGACTTTCTGGTTAGAATTTCAGTGCTTATCTTAACAGTGCTACACCAGCATTCCATCAAAATGTCCTATGCCAGTCCAATTCAGCTCACTAATGCCTAGTATATCTCTCTATGAGTTCCATTTCATGTTTGACAACTTCCTGTTTTCTTAGAATGATACTTTGTACATTCCATGTTTCAGTTATTAATGGATGTTTGCAACTGTTTCTCCTTATTTTGAGTTGTGCCCGGTCAGCAAATGAAGGTCCCAAAATGGTTTATTCTATTTGTACCATTAAAGTCAACTCTAATTTGAGGAGACTGTTCTTCCCCAGTTATAGTTAAGGTGCCTTTGAAACTGGAGGACTTATCTTCCAGCACTACATCTGAGAATAATTCTGATACTATTTGTAATGTTTTCATCTTCTGGCACTGTATCTGACAATGTTCTGCTGCTATTCATAAGGTTTTCAGTGGCTAAACATTCAGAAGCAGTCTATTTTTCTGTCTTAATCTGGAAGCTCAACTGAAACTTGTCCACATTGGGTGACACTGCTGGTATTTAAAGTACTCGTGGCATAGTGTCCAGCATCACAGCAACCACAGTATGACCGATGAGTGGTGGTCTCCATTATTAGTGAAACATGAACAATGTTAAGAAACATGCATCAAAAAAGCAATGCCTGCTTCATTCTTTAGTTATGCTGCCTTTTCTTCTATATATAGAAGAAACAAATTTGTGTACACAAATGTTGTATATTCTAGACCTATGGTGGTTGCTGAAAGAATAATAAAAGAACACAATCCTTTCAGGCTCCTTCTCTTTAGCCTACATATGTCCTGTTTCTCAAGAGTATGGAAGCTTTGTAAATGTTGTATAACCAGACAGTCTCGAAGAATGTACATAGACGTGTCTATTGTCTATGATTTTTTTTTTTTTTAAGAAAAAAATAGCTTAGATAATAGAGAAGTGTTTATTATGTAATTGTTTCTGAAGAACTTTTTTCTAAAGAGGCGTCTTCATTTTATATTCCCACTGGCATTTTATAAGATTTTCAGTTTCTTTACATCCATGTTGACACTTATAGCTGTCTTATAATGACTATCTTTGTGTGATTGAAATGGTTTCTCATTGTGGTTTTGATTTGCATTTCCCTCATTGAGTAATAAGCACATCTTTTCATGTGCTTATTGGCCATTTGTATTCCTTCTTTTTTTATTTTATTTTTTTTTAAATTAAATGTTTTTATTTTGCATTGAGTGAAAGTTTACAGGGCACATCATCAGCTTCACATTCAACCATTCATATAGCTTGTTTCATTACATTGATTATTATCCCCGCTAT